AGGTTTAGATGATTTTTTAGGATCTTAACTTTGAAGACCTGAACACAAGCTATATCACTGAGCATTCACTCTCTGATAAACAGCTGTATCCTGCATTAGACAAACAACCAAAGCACCAATAGAACAATGAGGAAAAAAATAAATACTGAATTTGTCCAAAAAACACGCCTATTAAGTATGTATGATTGTTAATTATTAAAATACAGACAGAAAACTGTATTAAAAGTTCCTAAAAAGCATCTCTGATACTCTGATCAGAAAATAATCTGCTCAAAATTCACCAAATTACACACAAACTTCTTGCAGTTAATTTACTCACTAGTTTGATTATTTCTACAGTTTATCAATTGCCCTGTAATTTTAATTTTATGCATTGAATATAAAATTAAATAACCATAAAATATGTCACTTAGTCAGTTTACTCAATAATAGAAAAAGGATTCCTTAAAAGGTTCAGTGTATGGAAATGGAATATAGTATTCATAGGTATGTTTTCATTAGTGTATAATCACCTGAATATACCTCAAAGCTCGTTCTCATTTCGAGCTCATAAAATATGGACACCAACAATCGGCTAGATGTCACTAAATCCTACACACTGGTCCTTCAAGGAAAATGGTTGAGAACCACTGGTCTAGTAATTGCCAACATGTTCTCATCCCAGGTTGTCAAATACCATAATACTGTTTAGGGTAAACGTTTTGAAATCGTTGCAGTTTGGTTAGGCTTAAGCAACAAAACTTGCAAGTCACCATTACTGCGGCAACAAGTCACACGTTACATTACGTTATGAAACTTAAACTTTAAATAAGTCATCACTGACTTTTGGTTTCACATGGGACTCAAACTTCGGTCTCTTAAGCAAAAGTCCTGTGTTTCACCCATCCATCCACCTCAACCTCCTTATGCAAACTATGTCTCTTTACACTATGTCATATGGTGCGATGGGTTACATTGAACTTACATGAAAGCTTACTCCACCTAGATGCTTAAGGATACCTTGTGTGCCGGTATGTAGACACAGACACCAAACATCAATATGGGAATGAGAACAGGCCGTAATTGCACTGTTTAGTCAACAAACTGCATTGAACAGTCAAGAAATGGTATTGCTTTCTGACGACCGAAAGAGAGTTAGTTCAAGTCGAACTCTTTCAAACTCTCAACCTCAGACACATTCCTTTACTAATCTCACCTCAGTATGACCTCTGAATTTTTCATTTTTACACAGGAGGCAAAGTTAAAAACCTATAATCTCTCAGTCATCGCTTTAGAAGGAATGAACTTAATAGGAATCGCTTTGGACAGAAGCCCATACCAAACAAACATTGACAAGTTTGTATGCTGAAGATGGTTGTCTGTCTGAAACTTTGCATTAATAAATTATTTATTGGAGTGCTGTCCTGCTGATGATTTTTACTCAGCTTTTGAGAATTCAGCCCCCCAAAACACACAGTGGAGAAGAGCCTGTTGATTTACTATCATCATTAGTGTATATAATGTGAATATAATAAAACCTCCCATTGGAGAGCAAAGTTCTATAGCTTATCTGAGCTGAGTCATTAGATCTTCACTGTACAGATTTGAATATACACTGCATGCACAATTATTAGGCGAGTGAGTATCTTGACCTTATTGTCATTTTCATGCATATTTTGCTAATTGGATTAAATCATTATCAGGTGATGTGTATTTGTGTAATGAGGGAGGGTGTGGCCTCTATATCCTAAGGCCTTAGAGATGACAGAATAATGACATGGCCCCCTTCCTCACCTGACCTAAACCCTATTGACAACTTGTGGGCCCTTCTTAAATGTGAGATTTACAGTGAGGGAAGACAATACAACTCTTTTAACATCATTTGGGAGGCTCATGACAGTTATTGAAAAGAAGGGTGTCTATATTGCTCACTGAATATTGGTTTAAATGTCAAAAATGTTTATTTGTAAATTTCAAGTTGTTTATTTGTTATTCTTACTCTAATAAATGAAAACAAGTGAGATGGGAAAAGTTTAGTTTTTCATTTAGTTTCATTTAGTTGCATAATAATTTGAACACTGATAGTTGCCTAATAATTGTGCACACATAGATATTCTCCTGAGAAAGCCAAAACTCACATTTCCTTTTGTTTAATACTCAGGTTTGAGGTTTATTAACATTTTGAATTGACTGATTTGTTCAAAAATAAAATGAATCCTTAGGAATACAACTTTCCTAATAATTGTGCACGCAGTGAATACTGCAGACTGTGTCAATTCACAGCCAACCATAGTTTGTAGCACCTCCTGGACTGGTGTGTCGTGCATTTCTACATTGATTCATACATCTAAACTGATGCTTGAAGTAGATTACAGCACCTGGAGAATGTGTTTCTACTGCAGGTATGGAATCAGGGGAACTGGCATTAAGTCATTGTAGCCAGGAACCCAGCAGGCTTAAAGGGGCACTACACTGACTATACATGTTTCCTAGTCATGAGGAGGCTCTGTAGGACCAAAATTACTATAATGATATCATACTGATGTCATTAGGGTTACCCCAGCTTAGGCTCGTAGACACAACTGTGTTACAACCTGTGGATGTGGAGCTTAAAGCTGAGGTAGGTAACTTTTATTAACATAACCGTTTTCCCTATTTGCTGAATCTTGAACTATATCCTGGCAGCAGCACATGACAGATGATCAGAGAAAAAAAATCTGGTTTCTCTGGCTCCTCCTAGTGCTCCTGATGGCATTTACAAGAATCCACCAGGTCTGAACAAGCTTAGCTTAAATATATACTGCAGCGTAAAAAAACCCCCAACAAAACGAATGTAATACTGCAGAATTATTTCCTGGGTGTAAACATACATATAAAGCTCTGGAAAAAATTAAGAGACCACTCCAAATTTTTCTTAAATCAGCATCTCTACATGTATGGCAGCCATTCCATTCCAGTGTCTGTTGAATTCCAACACAAGCACATTTCATTCTACTTAATGAGGTACTGATGAGGTGATCACCTAAACCAAATCTTTTTTAACGAGGAAAAGTATAAAAAACACTGCTGTGGTCATCACTATTCGCTTGCAATAGGACTAGCTGGATGGAGAAAACAGTGCTAGTAGAACCTCAAAAGTAATAGGAATCAAAAATAACTATTGATCGTGCCAAAAGAGTTAAAAGAAAAGTTTTGAGTTAGGAAAACAAGGGTTCAATTTTGGTTTTACTGGCAGAGGGATACAGTGATCGTCAGGTTGTTTCCTGTAGCAGGTCTCTATGCTACTGTGGGTTCTTGCAGCACACAATCTCACACACTGAACAAAGAACAACAAAGAAGAGCCAGGCTGAGGTTTGCAAAAGACCATAAAGATTTGACTGTAGAGGACTGGAGTAAGGTCATATTTTCTGATGAGTCCAGTTTTCCGCTTTGCCTAACACCTGGTCGTCTAATGGTTAGAGACTTGGAGAGGCCTAGAAGCCACAGTGTGTCGCAGCCACTTTTTGTGATGCTTCTGCAAGGCTGGAACCGGGCAGATTTGTCTTTGCGAAGGACACATGAATCAAGCCATGTACAAGGTTAAGCTGGAAGAAAACTTCCTTCCTTCTGCTCTGACAATGTTCCCCAACTCTGAGGATTGGTTTTTCCAGCAGGATAATGCTCCATGCCACACAGCCAGGTCAATCATGGTGTTTATGAAGGACCATCAGATGGTTATGGTAAATGGTAAATGGACCTGTACTTGTATAGCACCTTTCTAGTCTTCTGACCACTCAAAGTGCTTTTACACTACGTGCCACATTCACCCTTTCATACACATTCACTCAGTGATGGCAAAGTCCATCGAACAGAAACTAACATTCATACACATTCACACACCGATGCACAGACCAAGGACAGACAGACCAACATGGCAGCTCGTTTGAAAACTTTTTGTCATATAAATGGTTCACTGAAATGTGTTTCTGTCTTTGAAAACCGGTTAGTTTAAACTTTTTTCATACATTTCCAGAGGCGAGTTGCAGTGCCAGATGCCCCTGATTTGCATAAAGAGGCCTAGACCTCTTCTTTGTGCTCATGAGGAGCAACATGACGCTCCATCTATCAAAACGCACCGCAGCACTACCAGAACGCATTGCACAGCTGCTCACATAGACAATGAATGGAAAGCATGGAGATGATGGATCCTGTTGACACGTACCTTTCGAATGGAAGTACTGAGAGTTGTTGCTATTCAGACGATACACCGTCTTGTTTACTTTAACTACTCCTAAAACTGTTTTGACTAAGTTATAAAATACACAGTTAAAAAGGTTCTCTGTCAATGAATGAATGAGTGACAATATGTAACTATTTGCACTCTTTACCACTGGTGAACTGAATTAGGGCATTAAAGAAAGCAAAAGTTCTCTCCAGTTCTTTTTCTCAGAACCCTTCTCATATAAAATCTCCTTTGCTGTGTTTTGGAGAGGTTTCCTAAGTTAATACATTTTTAGCTTCTGCCACGTTTTAAGAAGCTTTCTTATAGATAACAAATGTTAAGTATCACCATGATTTACATATTCATATAATCCCTCTGGATAAACAACACTTATTTAAATCAAATGTTTTTTTTATTATTATTTAATTATATATGATTTCTATGTCAGGGTTTTCTCCAATCTTTGTTTATTCAAGTTCAATTCAATTCAATTCAATTCAATTTCAATTCAATTCAATTCAATTTTATTTGTATAGCGCCAATTCATAACAGAAGTTATCTCAGGACACGAGTACATACTTATAATTCTTTATACATCATGTCTCCACATGATGTATAAAGAATTATTGTGATATTGTGAGTCCATTTTTAACCGTTTTTAAGTGACATAAGCTTTTAGTAAACAACTGTTTTGCATTTTAGTTTGCACACCATTACCGATGACACCAACCCCAGCAATAAATCAAATTTTATTGTGAGTGATTGCTGCTGCAGTTGAAGCCACATATGATAATGTTCTGTGCCTGTTCTTTCCCGGCAGCTCCATACAGACATGGACCACGGAGATAATGCAGTCAAGTACACTCTGTCGGGAGAAGGAGCTGGTTCTATCTTCACCATTGATCAAATTACAGGAGATATACACGCACTGGTGGGGTTGGACAGGTCAGTACTCATCAATAACTACAACAATATAGGTGTAATAGTAATAGTAAAATCTTGGTGCTGGCCATGTAAGGCACTTTGTAACTTTGTGCTGTATATTCTTCTTCTTTGAGTTGGTATTATGTATGCCAAGGTTGGAACAATGTTATTTTACTGATCTAAAGTAGAGAAGTACAGAAACAACTATATAGGATATATAGGATTTACAATAATATTCACTACTAGAGATTAACGCTACAAGATGGTGAACACACAGTAAAGCAGTTCATTGTAATAAATGTCATCAACAACCACAAGGAATCTGGACAGAGTTTGAGGTAGCACAAGAAGGTGTTGCCATGACGATATCTAATCACAGCCCCCAGTGTCCTTGACCTGGACGCCTTTAACTCACCTATAGATTCTTACTTTTACGTGGAAAATAATAAACACCCAGTGTTGGCATTAACACAAGCTGACACCTAAATACCACGTAACAGATATAGTAAAGTCTGACTATATATAGTCTCTTAATTATTAACATTAGTGCTTTGTATGTGAATGTAATACTTGATGTTTTCCAGGGAGGAAAAGTCCTACTACACACTGAGGGCCCAGGCTGTGGACAAGCACACAGGCCTCCCTCTGGAGCCAGAGTCTGAGTTCATCATCAAGGTGCAGGACATCAATGACAATGAGCCACGGTTTCCTGACAGTCCCTACAGCGCCACTGTCCCTGAGATGTCACCAACAGGTAGAGACTCTCACTAAGCTTACATGAAGCCTTTTTCTAATCTACGCACCTTTATCTTCTGTGTAGAATCAATATTTATTGACCCAAGTCAATATCTTAACAGAAGAACAGTGAGGACGCAAGAGAAACAGCTTATTTCTGCTTTATAACTGTACTGTGGATATTAAATAGTATCACCAAAACTAAAATGGATGACTCATCAAGCATCCAACATATCAATAAGGTTGAGTCTTAGTTGATCACCACTGCAAGCAAACCAGATAAAGGTCAGGGATCACAAGCAGCAGTGAAATCATTGCTGATTTTAGAAAACAAAAACTTATTTATAAAGGATAGTAGTTAAGTAGTTAATTTTTATCAGTGAATTTGGGTAGCAAAGGGTAGCTCACCTGGTAGAGCGCCTTACCACAGCAGCCTAGGTTTGATTCCAACCTGCAGCCCTATGCTGCATGTCGTCCCCCCTGTTCTATCAAATAAAGGCATAAAAAAAAAAAAACATTCAGATGTGGTTTCTTTTGCACATGCAAATATGTTATTTTTAATAGATAGATAGATAGATAGATAGATAGATAGATAGATAGATAGATAGATAGATAGATAGATAGATAGATAGATAGATAGATACTTTATTTATCCCGAGGGAAATTCAAGCATCCAGTAGCAGCATACATTAGATACATACATACATTAGATATACATTAAACATACATTAAAATTAAAATTAAAATTATTAAAACAGTGCAAATGGTGCAAATGGAGGAGGAAATTGTCTGTTGGTGGAGCTGGACTGGGACAGCAGTCTGCCACTGAACACACTCCTCTGCCTGGTGAAGGTGTTGTGCAGAGGGTGGTGGGCGTTGCCCAGTATGGACAGCAGTTACAGGGTCCTTCTTTCTGCCACTGTCACCAGAGAGTCTAGCTCTATGCCCACCACTGAGCTAGCTCTCCTCACCACTCTGTCCAGTCGAGCGGCGTCTCTCTTCTTGCTGCTTCCTCCCCAGCAAACCACAGCATAGAAATAATGATATAGAAATAATGGAGACCTGCAATGAGAAACCAAAAGTGCCATTGTTGCGACACGCACCACAAGTCATGTGAATTAACCAATCACCTCCACAGGACTTACTGCACAAGGACGTAAAAACATCCAGTTGAAAGGTCAGCCAAACTCAAGACTGTTTTATTTTCTATATGCAAATCAGGAAAGCTACTGCCAGGGATTTAAGTGCTGCTAATCCATGTATTTCTATATTATTTGTATTTGTAATTAGTTAAGTCAGTGAGGCTTACGCCTAAATTACTGCAACTTCTTCATCATCATCATCATCATCATCATCATCATCCAGCCCACAGGTTCTGGTTGCTTAGTAACGACAGGCGCAGCAGTAGCACAACCTCCAAAGCGCCTTGGATGAAAGGATGGAAACTGCCAGTTTGCTTTAACAGAAATTCTGGTCAGAAGGTCGTTCAGCTTCTGAAACTGTCTTTTTAAAAATTTCATTGTGGAGATCTTCCCAGTAGAATTCGATAATTATTGTGATTGAACATTTAAAAGTGGCCCAATTGTACTGCCAGAAGAATGGTCAGAAAGTCACCAAAACATTAGGATTAATTCCCAGTAATTTGAAAGAAGAGGGATTAATTGTTCTCTGAATAAGTCTCAGGAATTTGACAGTTACATTAATTATCTTTAATTATTAATTATTATTTTATGATGGCATTAGATAAAAAGTCGAAGGATCACCAAAAATATTAGGATTTAATCTTGAATGCAATAGCTGTAAATGGCATCTGGATGGTATTTGTTGAGATATTTACTTTGACATGTGTTTGATGGACTAAATAGATGATCAAATGACATCCTTCGGGATCAACACTAGAGGGAAAAACATGATGAACATCGAAAAAATGGTCCTTTTTGGCACCCCCAGTTTCAAAGTGCAATTGACTTATACACCACTATTATAAACATACCAATCAGCCACAACATCATGAGCACTGACTGGTGAAGTGAATAACACTGATTATCTGGTTATCATGGCTCCTGTCAGTGGGTGGGATATATCAGGCAGCAAGTGAACATTTTGTCCTCAATGTTGATGTTAGAAGCAGGAAAAATGGGCAGCGTGAGGATTTGAGCGACTTTGACAAGGGCCACATTGTGATGGCTAGACGACTGGGTCAGAGCATCTCCAAACCTGCAGCTCTTGTGGGGTGTTCCCGGTCTTTATTTCACCTACCTCTTTAGCCAACCACTAAAAGCCTTAGATTTACTCTCATTCATCCTACCCAATTTACTCTCTTTTTCTTCTTACTCCTTCAATGTCTTCTTCAGTTTCCTTGTCTCTACCATGATGTCGACAGAAAGAACAGAACCCAATTTTGGATTGGCCGCTCATCTGACTCCAAGTCAAACACCAACACTCCCACAGTGCTCTGATGAGCTCCCAGTCTGGCTAACAGAGCTAAGCTACAGTTAGCAGTTAACTTAGCCTAGCTTAACTTCTGTCCATCAGGAAATTCTCATCACAGAGAGTTGAGGTGGAACAGTCGGAGGACATCAGAGGGAAAACCAGAAAATATTTTCTCCATAAAATATGATCCAGTTTCACCAAAATCAGTGATAAAGTTGGCGTACGGAGCACAGAGTGGGAATTAGAGAGGGAATATTCACCTGGTTACTGCCCTTTTTATTATTATTAAAAGTTGGATGATGTTGCTTTAAATCATATGATTTATCATAAGTACATTTGTCAAGAAATGTGAAGTAACTGTCCTAGTGAGAGTTCAGGTGAGAGGAGCTAAACTAATTTGTTGTGTTTATGGTTTGTGGGACTAAACATTAACTCAAATTCATATAGATAATTGTATTTTCTAAGCTTTTATTTGTTCTGCTCAGATCTTAAGTTTCACTTTGCATTCTGCTTGGACATATTAAGTTGTAACTCCAGCACACACAGACACACACGCGCACACACAGCACACTAAGCCAGACTTAGTGGCCCATCTGTCTGCTAAATACCATTACTGACAGGTAATTTAACAGTCAAGGTCTTTAGGCCTTAAGCTGTTAATGCTTCAGCTGAGGCCTAAAGTGCTCCAAGAGAACACACGCTTGACCCCAGTCTGTCTCTGTCGCACTGAAATACAGCAACAAACTGTATGGTGGATTAGCTATGGTAGCAAACAGCACAAGTATCCATATGATAAAAACATAATCCTATGAGAAGTTGACTGCTAAGAATAGCAGCAGCCCTGTTTTCTGTTTTCAAAGCTCTGGTTTGCACTGTTTTCTGTGAAGGTGCTGACTTCTCATAGAACTGCTTTGAATATGAGCCTCATATACACAGGTTCACTATATGTTTGTGTCGAGGGGCCAATTCTACACATGATGTTCGGTTTCACTCTAGAAACAAATGTTTTGGCTCAACAAAAATAAAAACAACAACAAAAGGTTTATCGCAACGCAACCATGCATTTAATTAACTGTTGACAATAGTTCTATTGAATTACTTTTTAGAGGGTACTTGCCATGTGGAATTGAACTGATTTTGTAAGAAGAGTTTCTATTAGTTTCATAATAGTATAATTTCTTCTGTGGCTCTGAAGCAAACTGTGCAAAGTATGAAAAAAAACCCTGATGATGGAAAAATATAAGCTTGACCCGAGAGAATGCGCGGCTGGTCTATTAGTGTTTTGTTTTTGTTTGTTTTTGAACTATGAGATTGCTTAAATAAAATTTTAAAATAACATTTGCATTTCCAGTAATATTTAATTTCAATGTCAGCCTGCTACATATTTGTGTTCATGAACATAGCACACCGTCTTAGCTTCCTACTTTTATTGGGGGGGGTTCAGTGGATTTGTGCTTAGTTCAGCTAATATTTAGAGTTTTATAAAGGAAATTATAAAATTCTAGTGTGGACATTAATGGATTATTAAGCTCAGTGGAACTTTGTAGAAATACTCCCTTACTATTGTGTAAATGTATTTGTTGATCTGTTTCCATCCAGTTTGGGGTTAAGTTAGTACTGTAAATTAATACAGTTAATAATCAAAACTGTAGGGACAACAGACAAAGACATGAAGTGAAATAAACTAAACCTAATACCATGAATATTATATTCCATTTCTAACAATAGCTCCTTCTACATGTTGCACACTGGACCTTTAAGATTAATTGAGAGATAGATTTACCTAAAATGAAGGAATGTTTTTTTCTTTGTCAAAGGTGACAAATCAAACAGACAAAGGTGAAACAAAGTCCACCTGTGGTAAATTCAGTTGATTGGACATGATTTGGAAAGGTGCACAGCTGTCTATATAAATGTCCCACAGTTGACAGCAATGTCAGAGCACAAACCAAGCCATGAAGTCCAAGGAATTGTCTGTAGACCTCCGAGACAGGATTGTTTCGAGGCACAGGTCTGGGGAAGGGTACAGAAAAAGTTCTGCAGCTTTGAAAGTCGCAATGAGCACAGTTGCCTCCATCATCCATAAATGGAAGAAGTTTGGAACCACCAGGACTCTTCCTAGAGCTGGCCCTCCAGCCAAACTGAGAAAGAAAGCAGTGCTTTGAGCTAACTGCTAATGTCACCATGCTCCATGTAAAACACATTGATACCCTTTGTGATGCACTGATAATCAATAAAGGAACTCACTACATCAGCAAGACAACGGCATCTGTGCATGCTAATATTCTAAAATATGTCACAATATCTCAAAATAGCAATATTCATAGGTGTAATTAACTCTCAGTAACCTTTTGTTTCTTCATGACAAGATAATCGTCTTGTTGGCTCAAAGAAAAAATAACAAGATAAATAACAGATTTTTCAGTACAGGCATTTCAGACATGACTCTTTAACAAAGCTATATTGCACGGTTGTGTGTGTGTGTGTGTGTGTGTGTTGTACAGGTACCTATGTAACGCAGGTGACCGCCAGTGACGCAGATGACCCCACATATGGAAACAGCGCACGCATTGTCTACAGCATCCTTCACGGCCAGCCGTACTTTTCCGTGGACCCCAAGACAGGTGAGAGGACAACATTCATGTTACAGTGTCCCTTGCAGCTTCCTCAGCAAACCAAGAGTTCATGCAGTTGTAGGACAGATCTGTGACTTTTGCTCGAACCCACAGCTCACACTCCCATCTGCCTTCCCTCCTAGAAAGCATGAAATTCAACTGGTCATGACACAGCGAGTGGTTCTGTGAGAGAGTTTCTCCTCAGTGCCGCACCGGAATACTAAAACAAGCGCTGAGAAGGACGTAAAGATTTTCAGTCTTTTAACAGACACCTCAACCGACCAGTAATTACTCCTAACATAGAGTGTCATGTTTCTTTTTCACTCTGAGGAGCAGCATGCAGTACACACTTCATCTTAGATTAAGGCATTAAACTAAAGGTGTTTTTACTGGTGAAAATATCAAACCAACAGAGGAATGTTGGAAGCCATAAGCAGCTGTGACCTGTTTCCTTATCCAGTTGAAACTCACTCCGTCGAATACTGCAGCTTGGTCAATGGCTCTTTCTGCTTCAAAAATGACCCTTTAGGTACCCCTGGGCATGAGAATATATGAAAATGTCTTGTCACTTTAACCACCAAAATATACTTAAAGCTCTTATAACGGCACTAAAACATACTAGAAATAACTTTACATTTCATTGTACATGTTTTTATTTTTATTTTGCTGTACAGATAGGACACCTGATCTCTTCATTGTTCTTTAGTTTGGAATTCAGTGAAATCCAATTTCCACATTTCTGGTTTAACTTTTTTTGTGGGGGCAAACTGAGCCTTTGAGCCATGGTGACAAGTTTAGGGGGACAAGTTTGGGGCAATTCAAAATAAATTAGGAAGTCAATATAGGACTGTATGTTAGCGAGCTAGACAACTTGTGAAGATATAAACAATTATTCCCATAATGAAAATAGTTTTTGATCATGATAACATTGTGTATTGCCCCCACTTGCATAATTTCTGGATTCGCAGGGCTCCACTGTTGAGTTAGCAATGTCTGGTTACCCTTTCAAAATAAAGCTTGCCTGGTTGATGTTGTGAAACAATTGCAGTTTGGCTGGGACTAAGCACAAAAACAACTTAGTTTTAGGAAAAGATACAAGATAAAGTGCAACCAAGAGAGTTGGTGGTGCAGGGACGCTGGAAGGCAGAGTTGCGGGTGCTGAGAGAAAGTCTGTCTATATAATGTCATAGTACTAAATGCATGACATTCTTAGTTTTTGCATTCACTTGAATGGCCAGGATAGTTTATATCTTTTTTAATAGTTATTAACAACATTTTATAAAAAATTTACTTTTTTAAAGCCTTTACTTTTTAGTGGATAAAACTGATAGACACAAAAACCACTGTATAAATGTAAAACCCAGTAAAAAAACAAGAAAGTCATAAGTTTATACATTTTTATAAACTAATGACTTTTATTATGCCAGGTAGTAGTTCCAGTGCCCATGTGGTGGTGTTTGACTTACTGCCATACTGCCATTGTTCCAACCCAAAGCCAAAATAGTGCAAGAACAGGAGTACGTGGGGTTCAGAGTGGGAATGACAGAGGCACAATTTGTCCTACAAGTCAGTGTAGCATCAAAATGATATTGAAGTGATATGGGTTGATCAGAAGTTGCTAAATATATTCTGAGAAAACTATTTACATAATTGAGTTTCAGAGCAACGTTTTTGATCACAAGTGAAATAACTATTTACGGAACAAGTATTTTTACATAAAAGTTGCTATATTTACAAGTATGATACTGATAAAAAGTACATACCAGAAATGAAATGAAACCAAAATGTATCACGGTGCCTAGTATCATAATGTATCACAATATATTGATTTGTAACCCCTGTATTGTGATATATATCGTGTTGCCAGAATCTTGCTAATACACAGCCTTACTAATTAGGATAAAATCATGTTTACTTGAGGAAGACCATCTGTGGTTGAAACATTACATTGGTCATGTCCACTGTCACAACACTGGAAACTCAGGATTTGACCCAAATTCAAGACAGCACAGGCAGCAGGATGACTTCAGTGATTTCTTATAATAATTATGTTTAAAAAACAACAACAGGGCAACACAGGGGCAAAACTACCAGGAACAAAGAAACCAGCAAGTGACAGAAGAACAAGGGCACACAAAGGTGAAACTAATTAGGGTGGGTTAGACATTAAAAAAACAGACAAAGACAGGAAGTGAATTTAAAGACACAAGAGGAGGAGATTACAAAATACAACAGGAAATAAAAGAAAATCCCAAACTATGATATCCACATAAAGCAAAAGTTGTTTTTTTTTCATTGTGTGTGTGTATTATGCTACTTTTCTGTCTCTCTTCATCAGGTTACATGAATGACCCTGACAGGTTAAATGGTAAATACAGTTGCAAAGATGCACACAGTTATCGCCAGTATTTACATTACAACACAAATCAGGAGTAGTAGTTTTGATGCATGATACACTGTATGTATGTGAGTATTAAACATAACATTAACACAGCTGACACACCTACTGCTTTCAGCAGTTCAGCGTCAGCACAGTTCTCTGACGATTCATCAGGTCTGTGTGGGTTTGGTTTGATCAGATTTAACTGACAACTCCACAACTGTCATCAGATTTGCTACCACTGAAATTATGCTATATCAGGATTTAGCAGAGTCTTCTTCAAATCACTGAGCAGAGCACAGACAAAACAAAACACACAGAAAACCTCTTATGTGAAATAATGAACTCTGTTCAGGGCCTTTACGCTCACTTTTTCTTGTCTGATTAGCTGCTCAGCGCACCACTGTGCACTTCTAATCACTTCATCAAGTCCAGAAAGCTTTGCTCTAATTGACAAGTCCTTCAGCTGGACTTCGGACATTTTTCTGTCCTCTCCTCTGGTGTGCTTCATCTCTGTCCTTGCCTGAATTTGTAACTCCACTCTGGTTCAGCCCTGATCAAATACTGCTAAGAGAGAGACAGGGGGAACTTTGGGGTAATTAATCATTTGAGGGCTACTCTACTGTAATATGCTGGCCTTATGAAGGTTAAACCCAGAGCCTAGTGTATCTGTCTGTATCTCTCTATATGGAGGGCTAAGCATCATAATGAGCACCGACTTTCAACCCCTCCTACTCTAGGAGTGATCAGAACAGCTCTAGCCAACATGGACCGTGAGGTGAAAGGGGAGTACCAGGTTCTTCTCCAGGCCAAGGACATGGGAGGTCAGCTAGGGGGACTGGCCTCCACCACCACCATCAACATCACCCTCAGTGACGTCAACGACAACCCACCGCGCTTCGCTAAGAGTAAGGAAGTTTCAACAATGCTGTCTGATTGGTTGGTTGATTGTTTGTATGGATGAATGAGTCGCTGATTGGTTCATCTGTGAAGAATCAGTCTACATGTTCTTTCTTGAATTGTACTTAATTGCTTTTTCACTTTTTTTCCCTCGTCATTCCATCAGGTATTTTCCATCTGCGGGTGCCGGAGTTGGCGTCAGTTGGCTCAGCAGTGGGTCGGATCCGGGCCCACGATCTGGACGCAGGCAGCAATGCAGAGGTGGATTACGCCATTGTTCCAGGAGATGAAGGCAACATGTTTGATATCATCTCTAATGGCCAAAGTCAAGAGGGAGTTGTAGTCTTGAAAAAGGTACATTCAGTCATTACAGACATATCAGATACAATACTGTACTACACCAGTTTGAAGTGCATTCTCAAATTATAGCTTTCTGATAATAGCATGGTCTATATGAATTAATTAAGGTTCAGAGTCATTAAGTGTTCATTTTGTCAGCTTTGTCTTATTTATGAGATCAAAAGTCCAAGTTAGTTTTAGTCATATTTAGTCAACCTAATCCTTTTTATTTTTAGTCAGTTCAGTACAGTAACAGTTTAGTGTAGTTTTAGTCAAGATCAAAAGTGAGCATCAAATTAATCAAACCTTGGCTTAAGAGTTTTACAGTTGCAATTATTAAAGAGCAAATCAGCATAGTCTGATGTTACCCTTATTGTCATGGCCATAGCTTCAATGAAAAGTGAATTGGCATGCTTATTTATACCTTTATTAGCAAGAAACTGTTGATACGATGCATATCACGGTACAGTGGTTACAGTTCAATAATATTCAATAATATTAACAGTCAAGTGCTCAAGCATAAAGTCACTGCTCTACCTTGCTAAATATGTCATCAAATACATGCAGATCCATAGCCTAAAGGGCAATTCTGATAGAGAAATAGCAAGCTGCTGTAAAAAAAACAATTTATTTTAATTCCCCCAGATCAGACATATGTAAACTGACTATTATCCCATGATAAAATTCCAGTAAGTTAGAACCAAAGGCAAATTTGCAAACACCAGCATTCCACTGGTGATGTGCTGTCAGTGATCTGAGAGTGGGAGGAATTTGCTGATCTGGCTCTGATCCCAATCATTCTGCCTCTTAACCTTCCACTGAACCGAGCTATTAGACTAGATAATGCCTTGCACACTTTACAGCCTTCATTTTGCTGTGTCAGCCACTGGATCCCCCTGATGATTTAAGATCTGTGGTATATATATTGGAAGAATGGGGATGAGATGGGAAAGAAAGGAAGGTGTAGAGGGATGGAGAAGGAACACAGGAGGAGGGGGAAAGTGTTTAATTTGGGATTTAATGTGATCTTAAAGACAATTATTGGCATGGAAAAACTACTGTAAAGTCTGGTATGAACTCGAATATATGGCACTTGCTCCTGGCAGACCACCATAACTAATTTTAACTCCTCATAAAGGTTTCAGCTCAGATCTCAGAGTAAAGCTCTTCCAGAAGGAGTCATCTGAGTACTTCAGAAACTTAAACTCTGTTAAATGTTCTGTCTAGAGGGATACCACCTCATATCGCACTCACATACACACCCACAGCGAGACACACACAGCACACATGTCACATCACATCAAGCAGTTTAACATCAGAGGGCTGCGGAGGCTTTTATTTCAGACCGTCCTCTAAATCAGAACAGACACGACAGCTACTTTCTGAGCACGAAACTTTGCCAGTGACGCCTTTCATTTTAGAAATGAGATAAGCCAAAAATCCAGTGCTGACATCCTGTCCCTGCTCGCTGTTTAAAAACAAAGAGGCAGTTGTTGAGCATTAAAAAGAAGTTGACTCACAGTTATGTTGATGTTGATGATTGCACATATCTTAAACACTGTCTACACACAAATTGGTAATGATGATCAGGTACATTTCTGTTCAGTTGTAGGCATTTATAATTGTATGTGAAAATACTCTGATACTGAAATGTTATCATTTTGAACAGATAAAATGATAGTGACTGACAGTGAAACTATATAAAATTTCTGAATGACACTTAATAATTTTTCATGCTCCACATCACATGTCACAGAAGGTAATAATCATGCACCCAGCGGAACATCTGATCAATAATTAATTGTTCAAGCACATCTACCAGAGGAGGACGTTTTCATGTCCCTTACATAAAATGGCTATAGAGTGCTGGTGGGATGGCAGCCTGTATTTTTGTAGTTCAACCCACAAGTTAAAGCCAAGGGGATTGTTCCATTGGATTCTGGATTATTGTCAAAAATAACCTCTGTGGTGAACAAAGGTTTATCATACTTTTTTTGTAGTATAAATGCGATTGCCAGAAGTAAAAAGCTAACATTAGACCATAAACGAGCTAGACCAAGGTCACATGACCTCACCATAACTGTACTTCCAACTCAATCAATTAACTTAATTAAATCTTGTAATTAAAATCTATAAGTTGTAAAGTTTGAGTTAGAATAGTTTATAGTGGACTATGTGGGCTGTCACTGGGCCAGACCAATTTAAGTTAGTGCTGTTTGTGTTGATCACTGTATTTGTGGCAGGACATTATAGAAAAGAAAAGTGATTCAACAGGGTTACAGAATGAGGACATGAAGTTTTTTCACGTGTGCTGAACTCCTGAGGAACTAATCATTTGGAAGCTGATTCATTGGAAAGGAAAATGTTAGTCACTGTTGAAAGGGATTCAGAGAGTGGTGAGACTGCTAAGGTTGACGTGTTAGGTTTGTGATTTGCAGGCGAAAAGCTTGATTTGGGAATATTAATGTGTAATCATTGTTTTGTGAGACTTTCCTGTTTGGATGTCTCTTTTCTAAGTTTGAAGAATGGTTGTACCTCATTTGTCTTCTCAATAAGGCACATAACATCCTGATTAAATCATTTTTCAAGCCTTTAAGTCATATGTCACAAGTTTGTGACAGGATGACTTAGAATTGCATGACACTCACTGGATATGACTGCAGCAGTCAATTAAATACTTATTATGTAAGTCTGTCAGATTGTTTACAGCCCAGTCAATGAAGTTTTAACAACCGCCAAACATCTCCCACATTTATTTTTCATAATCCTGGCAGGCATTGGTTACTCACTCACACTCACACTGGTCTTTTTGTTTAGCAGCATTAGGCTATTTATCTACCATTTCTCCTAAATATAGCTTTCTTATTGCAGTGTGATGGCACAACTGCAGCTCCATAAGTATTATTCCGGGATCAGCAGAGAACATTACGTTTTTCAAATATACTTGGTTTTAGAATGTGTCCTAAATAGCCCAGCATCAGAGCTAATTTAGTGGCATGCAAATCACTGAACTGTTGGCTTAGCCCCGCCCCTTAAAATCAGCTTTGTAATGAGTACAGAGAAACTTTCCACTTTTAGCAGATGAATGAGAGAACATCCGTCCAGAATCAGACTCTGCACAGCAGCATTCAAACATCACACTGTAGGAACAAGACAACTTTAAATGACCATTGTGTATTTAGTGGCATCTAGCAGTGTAGTTACAGATTGCAACTCTGTCACTATCACACCTATCTAGAGCCAGTGGTTGATTTGTCCCTTCTGGGCTACTGTAGAAACATAGTGGCTCGATGGAAGGGGACCCGTGTTGTCTGTACATAAAAACGGGCACTCTAAGGTAAGAAAAACGATAATTTTTTTATTTTCAGGTGATGAACCAGCAGAAAAGCAGAGAATAACCAACTCTGCAGCTCCTCTAAGTTCTGTGGGTCTGTGGGGCATTTTAGTCTCTTTCAGCTCATTGTTTTGGTTAAATTTTTTTGAACCAGTATCTTTTCCGGCAGCAACAGGCAGCTTCAGTTAAAAAGCTGCAAGAAACCCATTGTACACTACCTGCCCATCACCAAACAGCAGATAGTTAGAGCATTAAAGGACCAGTGTGTAGGATTTAGTGGCATTTAGCGGTAGAGTTACAGATTACAACTTATGGAACATCGCTGGCATCTGTATTTGATGATGGTTCAACATTTCAGACTCCATGGAAGGCGACCCGCGGGGTCTGTAAATAATAAAACAGCTCATTCTAAGATAACACAAACACAACAATTATTATTTTCAGGTAATTATACACTAATGAAAACCTGATTATTATATTCCATTTCTGCCAGTGGATCCTCCTAAATGTTACACACTTAAGAAGCTAATGATCCAGATATTTTTCTCAGAAGTTGGTTGAGACCAAACCAGAACTAAAACAATAAACAATATTGGAGCTGCATTTATCAGGTGGATACAACCTCAACTCAAATTAAAAAATAAATAAATTAGTCCCATGTAGTTAATGTAATGTGTAATTTGGCATCTGTTTTTCAATATATCAACTTCATAGGGAGATAACATGTCAGTGTCAGTTGTTGCACTGCCCCCAAGTGGCTAAATCAATGAATGCAGATGTGATACAACATTATCGTAAGGCTTGGTATTTGAGGGTTAAACCAGTCAAAGACTTTATGGAAAGCAACGTTCTGGCATCGAGCCAGCGGCTGAGGTACAGTAGCCAGCATCCTTAAAACCTCAGGTTTTATGAGGCAGGAAATCTATAAATAAAAGAGCAATGCTAGGGTTAGCTGTATTTAAATGTCTAGCTTTGCTCTTTTCTGCTCTGACTCCACTTTGTTGTAAAGAGGGCTCTGCTCTGTGGCCGCTAGCCTCATATTGATAGCCACACCAGCTCACTGATGCCCATGTGGCATGTCAACAGGACACACTGCCAACACCACTGAACAGACAGTTTCAGGTTCCTATATATATAATATCCCGTTTTTTTGTTATAATATGAAAAGTAGCATATTTCAGCTCTATCAGACACTAATCCTACTCTGCACACCTTCCCTCTCCTCTTCCTCTCTAACGTCCGTGGCAAGATGCCAATCAGTTAAATCCTCCCCAGCTCCCTCACTGCCAGTCAGCCCTCTTCCCTTTCCCTTTCCCCTCACTTAACCCTACAAGTCTATGTGTCAGCCACGTGAAACGCAGAGTGAATTTTATTGATTCAGGAGGTTTTAACTCTCCCCCTTTTTTAATCATCTTGCTGGTCTGCACCAGACAAATTCAGGTCAGTCAGGAGACACTTAATTCCTCAGAAAATTGAAACTTTACTAGAGTGAGACATTTTTTCCCCTCTTTTTGTCTGTCTTCCTCTAGGTGTCTCTACCAAGGTGTTCTGCCCTATGTCAGGCCAGTCTAAGAGGATTTATTGCTTACAGTAATGAGTTCAGAGGGATAAACATTGGACACAGTGAGAGGTTATAAATGGCAACCTCCACGGCTGGAAAAATAAGCTAACATGGAAGTGC